TCCTGTTGTTGGTCCACCATCTCCAAGACCGCTGATTAAACAGCAGCTGAATCAGAAACAAAAAGTTTTCGTTKAAAAAACATAAGACCAACGAATGACAACGAGTGAAAAGTGTTGTAGATGAATGTCAATCACTATTAAATACGAAACTATATAATTTATAAAATTAAAAACAACTACAAATACAAATAGCTTAAAATAATAATATTAATAATAATAATAGTAATTAGCGAATAAAATAATAATTGTATATCAAATCTGCTCTGTGAGTGATTTCCACAAATATAGTACGACAGCGTGTAGAATTGGTGCACTATATAAGAATGATATGTATATTATATGTATATGTTATATAATATGTAAGATATTAAGGTGGAAACGTGTGATTTATTATGCGACGAAAAGCCAATGGCAGCTACACAATACAGCTTGATTAGTTGAAAAAACAAATAGTGCAGTTTTCCGTTCTATACACCTGAAACACAAAAATCGGTTAGAAATAATGTAAATTTGATTAGTCAATTTAAACGATAATTAATTTCATATATGATTTCATAAAATATATGAAAAATAAATCGAAATTTAATATATTATATCATATGAATTGAAGTCAAACTCTGAAGAATTCTGAACCGCTGAAAATCAAAATGATAATATTATACTAATGATRAACTGCAGTAATTTTCACTTTKAATTTTATTTAACTACGCGCACGCCTGTAAGTAAAACAATAGTGAAACGACAACAGATAAATCACAGCGTCACGTAGWWAATTGAATAAAATATATTATATTAACTACTGACAAAACAACGTCTATGTGAAAAATCGAGAGAGAAAAACGATAAAAATCTCGAAAACGATTTCACCGCGATCTCGATTGGCACGTCGCGACGAATCCGCATTCGCAATATGTATTATTATTTACGGTCGGCGGCGGCCGTGCCAAAAAATTTCAAACGGCCTCCAAAACGAACACACAAAAAATAAAAAAATAAATTCCAAGTCATATAAATATTATCGTAAGAGTTATAACAGTATTTTATTAATGCCGTGTTGTATAGCTATATGCGTCGTGTCCGGCGACTATAGACTGAACGGAAGACGTGCCGAGATTTAATCGGGCGTCCCAGTACGGGTGGACGCCCCCAACCGTCACCCCCTCCAAAAGCCGGGGACGGGAGTGAAAAAAAATACAATGATAAAAGACGGCCGACCAACCAACGGGCGAGTAGCCCCCCGCAAACG